AACTAAATATTCAAAACTATCTATCAAAAAAGTATTCCTTTTTCCATTACATTTAGATGCTGAAACATTAAATTATCTATCTAAGGAACCAAACTCGTGAACTACCTTGTCAACAACACTTAATGCAAATTTTCTTTTGAATATTTTTGAACTCTTCAAATCAGAATTTTACTACTGATATGATTCTATGATATAAGAATTAATCATAAGGTCGTCATCTTTATGCATCGAATACGATTCTTTCACTGGAATGGGTCAAATCGTAAATGAAGGACAAGATCGTTCATTCAATTATCCATTTATTCATTCATCCATATTCCACGGGCAGGGGGTCATTATCCATCCCATAATGGGCCTTGATTGGAGGCCCTAATCTCTAATAAGTGGTGGTCTCCCCGTCTTGGAGCAAATGACTATTCTCCTCCTACAAGGATTAACGAATGAAATAAATGGTGGATAGATGGATGAATAAGTCGATGAATGGCAGAAAAGGAACTGTTCTGCGGGAACTTGCCTGTTCGCCCTTGTCAAATTCCAACGCTCCCAACGTTTCTTAGTTGGAATTTTCGTGGCCAAAAGAAGGGTTTTCACAATGTAAACACCTGTGTGTGAATTCAATTATACTTTTTTTGAAACATGAAATAAAACCATTTATACATACACTAAAGAGTCGTCTTTTCATGATTTTTTTTGTATATGTTTGTTTATGTAGTTCAAACATTTATATATATATATATATATATGGTAATATTAAGTTGACCCACCTAAATCTTATGGTGACAGCTAATTTTAATAGTTTAATCTCTAGGACTTCTTCTTGGATTCGATAAAATGAAAGAGATGTGAATTCAATGGACAACAACATTCAAATCTTTCTCCTTACCAATTATTAGTTTAATATACACCAATTTGATTTAGAGCTCATCTTGCATAATCAAATAATAAAACACAAAAGTTGTACTAAGGATCCTGACCTCATTTGTTAGAGAATCAATCTTTTTGGACTATTTATGGCAGTCAAAAGGAACCTTAGGTCAATTTAATATTCCCAAGGGCAAGGGTTAATCGAATAATTTCTAATATATATATATATATATATATATATATTCCATCTTTATCGAACTGTTAATATTTACAGACAGTTTTTATAAAATTTTAAAACTATTCATATTTAAGACGAATTTAATATTAGAATTCAGATGTAGTATGTTAGTACTTTTAAAAAATCTACTCTTTCACACTATAGTAATTATACTTTAATATTTATCTAATTTCATAAATCAATATAATGTATTTTGTTAGTATAAATTTGTACCAATTTTTTTCTATGTATTGATGATTCAATTATGTTACATTCTATAAAAATATATTCCATTAGTGTAAATTTGATATTTATCTATAAATATGTGTAAAATTGAAAAAATATTTAAATAAAACCTTTGGTTTTAAATTCAAGTTTATTATTTATAGCAAAAAATTGATCAAAAAATCTGTTTTATATCACTAAATATGTTATATTTATATCTAATTTGTTTTGCATGTATGTGTTTTTTTTTTTTTTTTTTTTTTTTTTTTTTTACATTGGTTTTAATATTATTTTTATAATGTTAATGGAGATTGTTTAAATGAATCTTATTTGCAACATTGCAATGTGATTTATTCTTAAATTGCATATTATTATTGTTTGGGAGCTTACTTGCAGATATTACATCTAAAGCAAAGCAAGTGTCTCAAAGTCTGTTAGTAATTAAAATTATATTTATTACTAATGAATATAAAAATAAAGGTACAATAATTCTTAGAGTATTTGATATGGTCATTAATTGATATAAGAAGACCAATAATCGAAAAAAATTAAACCTACTGTCAAAAATTAATCGAAATACATTAGTAATATGTCTTAATAATTTAATGCGATTATTTCTATAAATTTATATTCTGTCAATCTTCTTAAAAACAAAATATTTCAAAAACTTTTAAACTTATTAGTGTTTTATAGCTATAAAATTTTAGATTTGAGCATGTAAATGTCAAATATGTATACATGCACAAATTGATTTTCTTAAGAACAAGTTTAATAATTACATATTCAAATCTAAATAATAATTAGTGAGTTTTGTGAATCATGACAATATCATTTGTGACTTTATTTTGAAAGCTATAAACATGCATTAATTTTTTTTTAAAAAAAAACAAAAATTATTATAATAAATCAATATTATAAATAAATTAGGTTTAATAATTATGATTTATAATTTAATGGATTGAAAAAATAATTGGATTGAAAATTAAATCCTATGCTAAATTTGTTGCAATTCACCTACTAAATTGTTTATTTTTTAGAAATAGAATGAATCATTTTTTATGAAAATGAATGATAAATTATTATTTTTTATTATTATAATTATATTTAAATTTGAATATATATTTTGAATTTAAATTTATTGAGACAATATTTTTCATGCTAAGTTTAAATTATAATTATTCATATATAATTAAAAATACTATAATTATAAAACTCTTAATCAAGTCATATATAATGTAGTTTTTTCTTTAAACATACCTTTTGATTGTGTACATGTATGTAATTATAATTTTTCTAATACTTTAAAGAAAGTATAAAAAACATCAAACCTATCCAAAGTAATTAGTGGCCACAAAAAATATCTTATTATTTTTCCTACAAACATTCTAATAATATTTTATTATAATTTTATTAATAATATCAATTTAATTTCAAATAATTAGATAATATTATATTAATTTTTTAAAAATATTTATTATAATATTTATTATAAAATTATAAAATTATATATATATATATATATATATATATATATATATATAATTTATTCTTATGCTTTAAATGTTAACAAATAGATGCACATGTTTAAAGATATATAATAGTAGTATTTTTGGAAAGATAATACTAATCATAATTAAATTTTAAGTAACTTAAAGTAAACTTGTTTATATTCTAATTTATTGTTAATAATAATATTTTTAGACTTAAAAATAAATTTTGATTAAATTAATAATTAACAATTAAATTTAATAAATAATTTATTATAAGTTTAGGAAGTACTTATAAAAATAAATTTTCCTTGAAATTCTAATTTGCTAGAAAGATTTTTTTTTCTTTAAAACAAGTTATTAGTTTTTGTTTAAATCTTAATTTTAAGTAGAAAAAGAAATAAATTCATTATTCTCAAATACATGCATTTTATTGAATTGATTTTAAAACTTCAAATGTGTTTAATAAGTCTTAAAATAATTAGACATGTAAGAAGGCAAATAAATTAAATATTTAATATATAAATTACAAAATCTATTACTAATGATTTTTATAAAATATAATAAAAATCATCTTTCTAATATAAGCCTTATGTAAAAAATATATATGAGAGAATATTAAATAGACTTATATTATTATTAAATTAATCCATCCATCTTAACTATCATGAAAAACAAATGACCTCTACATCTATTTCTTTATACTAGATCTAAAACCACATTTATCATAATTACCATATTCTTCATGATAGATAGGTCGATTTAGTAAAAACCTAGGTCTATTTAACATTCTCCTAAATATACTAAGCATATCAATATGTACATAGTTTCAATTATAATGTATTATCAAATCTTAAAATATTTTAAAATTATAATATTCTATTATATAAAAAGATACTAATATAGTCTTATTTTGCTAGAATAAATTCTTAGCACATGTGGAGGCTCATCGCACCAGATCAGATCCACGTGGACTGGTTCTTTACAGTTCGGCGGTGCTTGTACATGGTACAGCGTCAATTAGCACAACCGAGCGCTGTTGATCTGAACCCAGAGCGGCAACACAGATGTGGGTACTGATCGAACCGGCTTGAAGGAACTGGAAGATGCCTAATAGGCATTACAGTGATCAGCTTTGTGGTCTGAAAGTATATTTCAACCGCATGTCCATTATACCCCTTACACACTCCTCTATTGCAGGCTGTTGTCGCAAGGTCCGGAGTTACGATGACCAGGCCGTCGGCTAGGTTTAATTAATCCAGTAATTGCCGGCTTTTGGGAAATTTTTATGGAATCGGTTCCGGACACAGTGTGTGCAGGTGATGTGTCGACTAGCAGCACTTGCACCTGCAGTGACTAATTATGGCCAGAACTTTCGCAGTACTTGGACCCATTACTGCTCCAGAAAGTCTAGTACATGCTTGCAGAATTTTTATCCCAACCGCAATTTATGAGATTAGGATACGTCCATCACGCGGCTGCCAGCGCAGTGGAATTTGTAGCACTAATCAATGATGGTAGCTTTCGGAATGAATTGGATCAGCTAGTTTTAGGACACGCTTCCGCCCAGGCACAATTTGAAAAGATTGTATAGCTTGGAAGTGGAGCGAATGGAACAAGGTAGTCGAGTTTGAGACAGTAAGAGAGATTCTCTGGAGTTCGTCGGTAGCGCGATTTGAAGTTTCAGTTCCAGAAATCAGGTATACAGTGCTTCTGGCCATTTCGAGTTTAATACAGTGAAGAGGGTCCAACCAACTGAGAGACCTGGGCCAGGGCTAAAGTCGTAAACCTGGAAGGCTTGCGAGCCAATGGTGTCAAGCACAAGCATCTGCGTATGCATGGTTGGGCCCCGTCGACATCGGTGTCTCTCTATCGTGAATATGCTACTGCAGTCGTTCGACGCAGTGAACATAGTAGCACGCACGGCTTATTAGTTTTAGCTTTTTATTTACCGACAGAGGCGCTGAAGGAGCTGCAATTGAAGGTGACATCAATCGTATTTCTGCAGAGCACGTTCTGGTAATACTACAAGTTTTTATTTTATACTCTTTTCTGCTTCTGCTGTAGTGAATGTGAAGAATTTTAAAATAATTTTCATACAGCAGTAATACTAGCAAAAATAATGATAATAATACGATTGCTAATAATAATATGGATAGTTCAAGTAAATAAATTTATAATTCCTGAATATAACTCTAGCTGTGCTTTATTGAAAAATTGGGTGTAGTATAAGCACTGCGAAATCGTACACCATGCCGCCTTCGAACCATTGTTTCAGTCGTTTATCTGAACTTTTCTTATCATGTGTAACAATGCAGGTCGAACTTGTGGCTATGACTACTAATTTGACAATAGCGAAGGATCGAACATGGTGTTACGTGCATGAAATAGTCGTCCAGAAATATCACTTGATTTGGACAAGGAATCTGAGTTACATTTTTCTAGAAGTTTATGATTTCAGACTAATTACCTTGCAGACAGCATGAAGGAAAAGCAAAAGAGGGTGAATGTGATAGACCCGCCTCTACAATTTGCAAGTCGAATAGAAGACAATGGAAATCACGAGTACTTATGATGATGATGCTATCTTGCAGGTTTATCAAGTTGGGGATGACAACGGTTGGCCCTCTGTTGGACAGTAATCAGAAGCACTTGTGAAGGAAAAGCATGTCTTGCGGCTTGAGCCTCATTGGTTTCTTATGTCCAACGGTAATGCATCCAATCAGTAGTGTAAGTTTGAGTGCGGAGTAATTCTCTTGATGTCGTTGAATTTATGTGCGCGAAGCAGTTTCAGATTTTCATGGAGATAATGTTTAGTCGACTAAAATATCCTCTGGTTTTCCAACTATTCCAGATTCTGCAGAAAAGTTGCATTTGAATAGTGCATCCTTGCAGACTCAGCCTCGTGATGTATGATCAGCAGCAAGGCATGCAGAGTTTCAGCACTGGATATGTGTTCCCCGACCGGTTAGAGCAACAGAGCAAAATGCGTGAACCAGTCGGTGACGATTTCTTCTTCAATCGTGATCATGGTTCCAGTGGTTCTTTCTTGAGAAAACCACAGCCATTATGTCGTATGGTCGGCTACAATGTTACCCACCTTAACTGCCTACCCTGCTTTCCGCAGCAGCAGAGCCAGACACCTCCTCTACCACTCATCGATCGGGATATTCAGCCAGGGAGAAGGACCTCATGTGGTGATTTTCTAAGTGCCGAATCGACCTTCCGATTTCCACCACAAATGCAAAATGCCAACAACGTTGTTCCAGGTTCCCTGGAACTGAACCAAGGCGTAACTCTGGGACACAGAGCGTTGTCGTTTGTGCGTGGTGATCCCCCCATGGAACAGGCATCTAAACAAGCTGATGATCAAATGGCAGATTTCAAGGTGACGTGTTTCGTTCACGAACAGGATGGATCCGACTTAAGGCAGACCTGGTGCCAACCATCTGATCAAGTCATCACGAATTTGCCGAGCTCTGGCCCGGCTCAAGCATCTCGACATCACTGCCTAGGTCCTGCCCCGAAACGAACATATCCCTACTCAACGACAACCTTTGAATCCGGTGGAGAGAGTAATCGGCCTGCACACCACATTTCAACCAGTGGTAGGCGAAGGGAACTTGCGCCGAAGAAAGGCAGAAGACACATGATTCCGAAGAGAACCGCTCAAGCCGTGCTCAGCAATGTAGTCTCGCAACGTAAGAGTCATATCTGGTCAGAGAGGCAGCGACGCCGCTCCATGAACCAATTATACACAACTATGCGAGCGCTACTCCCTCACCAGTCTGTCAAAGTGAGACTTCAACTCCTTGCACCCTTAACAAGTTGGCTGTTAGGCTTTCAAGACATTGAAGTGAATCAGAAATCCATGCGATCATCCTTAGAGTTATATTCAGTGTCGAATCTCGAGCTCGCACATGGTCTAATGACTGAGTGCGGAGCGTTTTCTTTGTGGGTTGCAGACCGACAAGTCCACCGTTGTTTTGGACATCGTAAATTACATCCGAACTCTGCAAGCGGAGCTGGAAATGCTCTCGAGGCGACGCGACCGACTGGTTACGACACGCAACTTGCACCAGAAATCTTCCCAAGCGTTTTCAGCCCATGGCCTCACTTGTGTGGATCACACGAGTGATGCCTCTGTACTGACGGCTGTGACCACCTTACCTCCGCCGGGCAGCGCTTCCTGCCTGGCCTCTTTCCTGGGCAACAACGTGGCCATCCATATCTGCGGTCACCACCTCTTTGTCACCATCACTGCTCCTGCCCAGCTATGCCTCCTAACACACATCATTGCGACTCTCGATAGCTACAACTTAAACGTGTTAAGTATTGCCGTTAACTCCCGGGACAACACAACCGCATACTCCCTATCAGTGGAGGTAAATATTATTTTTTATTTCAAGAGAAGTCATTGTGTTTGCTGAATGTAAATTGTAATAGAAGCGTCGTGGCTAATTGTGCAAAATAACGTTTGAATTCGAACGACAGGCAAGTCAGGTTGCGGAGGCTATAGGTGACGATCTGCACACAGCTCTGCAGATTGTTATCAACAATTTCTCGTCCAGCGAAATCGAAGCAGCGTGACAGATTTTCTCGTTCCATTCACTATGCTTTTGACGCAAGAATTGGCCAAAGAGGCAAAAGTGTTGCGGACTGAATACTGGATCATATCTGGAACCTCGAACCGGATGAGATGTGGTGTGTTCTCCAGTCTAACGTTACAGTGTCCATGCGACTGGATTACGGAAGCACTTGCATAAGTTATCTTATTGGAAATAGAACAATTGTATTTCAGATACGAGGTTTCCAGGGAGTGTCTAGAAACTCTTCTAGCTCAAACAGAAATTCATGCGTGTGATGAATGTAGTGTCGAGTAAACAGATACACGCATCAGTAATTTCCCTCTACAGGAAATTCAGTGTGCATGGAAATGGCTCCAACATCTTCTGAAATTAAGTGTTCCAATCTGAGGACGCAAAACTACGCAAGTGTAAAGTTCTGATTAAATCGCTAGGATTTTGTGTGTTTAAAATTATGTAACAACAGCTTGAATGTACTGCTTCAGGCTAAATCTGTTGGAATAACCCTGTTCTCAGTATCAAGGGACAATTCAGTTAGCGCTGACGTGGTCTTAGGGTAAACTAATTATAGCCTATGGCTAGTATAAACGAGAGTCCTCGAGGAGCTCAGTGTCTGTGTGTGTGATTCTACACAGTATCACCGTGAGTTCCCGGTGCTATTGGATTCAATATATTTCCATTTTTTCATGGTGTCAGCTGGTTCTCCTCCTGACATCCCATTCGTGCACTTCTGGGCATGAGCTCAGATTCAGAGCTTCCAGAACCTGCCTCACCTAGGACTGCTACACCTGCCTTGCAATCTGACTCGATACCAGCAGATCCATTGCAGGTAACCACCTCTCCTCATTCATTCTTTCCTCGTACCATTGCTAGCGATGCCAATCTCATCCCCGTTGAATGTAGGCTCACAGGTGAAGAAAACTATAGTATCTGGAGCTTTATAATAGAACATGTCTTGAGGAGGGAGGGACTATGGCGCTACATCAAAGAAGAGTGGCCCTCAGTCGTGAGACAATCACCAAAAGAGCGAAGCAATCGGTAGAGCACCAAGGTAATCCTCACCCTTTCTCTGCATCTCAGTTTGTTCACGGAGATCAAATCAGAATGCTACCTTCACTCTCTGTAGGAAGTTCTAAAAACCATGATGGTTTCCACTAACCAATTTAGCAAGAATGACCTCCTGAACCGTCTATTCAACACACGGTTATTCCTAGACATCGGTATGAAGGACTTCTTGTGCAGACCTAGTTGATAAACTCACATAAGTACAAGTGGAGTGGACTGACTATATACTGACCTTGGTCCTTAATGCTCTACCTCATTAATATAATAGATACATAGAATTACTTATGATGCAACAAAGACTTCTCATACTTTGACAGCTTGAGCCCTACTTCTTAGTATCATAGACATATATATATATATACCTAGATAAGAAGTGCTAGGTAGAAGGTAAATATAGATAGATTTGATAATATTTTTTGGTAATGCTTCTTAGAAGCTTCATAGATGTGTATTTGATTTTATACATGTTTATAGTTGATTGATAGGTTAGAAACTAAGCCAACAAGTTAGCCATGTGTTGTACATGTGGATAGCTTGTCGTACAAGCTAATAATATGGTACTCATATAGGAAACCTATTTTTATAAGTTAAGACACATATCTTGTAAATTGAACATGTGTTGGAGGTCGTATTGGATGTCACTGCATAGCTTTTAGTTAATAATATATATAGAGGCAAGAGTGAAGCCTTCTTTATCCTTTTTAATGCTTTTTTAGTCCTTAATCTTATTTTAAGTCTTTTTAGTCTTCTTGTCTTTGACAATAGCCATTCTAATTTTAATATTGTATTAATTTTGAATAAATATCTATTCTTTTTGTATTATATATGAGTTTATTGAGTTTTTGATTCTTTGAAATTCATATCCTTAATAGTTTGATAAGACTACTAACTTATTATTTTTATCTTATTTTTAGAAGTGAATAGACTATTTCACTTTTTTTTATTGTATTTTGAAGGTTGTAGACTATCTACCTTCAATCTAACATTTTAGTTTCATAATAATAATTTTTTTCTTAAAAAAAGTGAACTACCTCTCTTTTTCAAAATTTTCATTTGATATTAGAGATTGTAGAGTCATATGATAACATAATCACATGGTAAAAAATAAAAATATAGATTTTTTTATAAAAAATCTTGGTAGAAAGATGTAGTAGAAAAATAAAGATGAATGATAGGAAGATGGTTAATTTTTTAATCTTAATATTATCTTTTATAGAAGAAACTTCTATTTACTTTGTAAGAGCATTAATGCCTCAAATTAAAGTAAATAAAATAAATAAATAATATATCCATCTTTAAAAATAATATTAGATTTAAAAAATACTTATCTCATATTACCTAAAATTGATATCTGAAAAGGATCAATTATAAACTAAGATTGAAATCAGATCTTAAGGCACAAATTTATACATCTATAGCCACCTTGGCATTTTTTTGTTAATTAAAGAGTGGAATTAGGAAAAAAACTTGTGAAAAGATTTTAGAGAGTTAGTTTCATATCATTTGGATTGATATTGAGGTTTTGAGGGATTTTCAAAATTAATGATATACTCCATGGATTTATATTTTGAAATAAAAATAAGTTTATAAATTTGAAGATTTTATGAATTTTTTAATATATTTACAAGTAAATATTTGGTAATTTTTTATTATACTTTTTGTAAATTTATATGAAAAATTTGAGATCAATCAAATAATTAGATTAAAAAATATAAGAGTTTTAGAAATTTATAGTCTCAGATAATTGAAATTTTGAGTCAATGAGGGATTTTGCAATGTCGAAATATTTTCTAATTTAATTAATGAAAAAATTTGTGAGAGTAATTTAGACTTAAATACCTTTACACAATTCAATTTTTGGAGCAATATAATAGTTCAACAAGGAGAAATCTTTGTTGAAAGATCAACATTCAAGTCAAAGAAGGAGGGTAATCAACAACTAAGAAGTTTTGAGAGCTTTTTTTGTAATTGGTAAGTCCGATTCTTCTCAAACTTTGTATATTTAATAATTGCTTGTCAATTGAAGTTTGGATGAAATTTTAGTTACAATCAATGATTCAATTAATATTTATTGAAATTTCAAATAATTAAAGTAATTTATTAAGATTTATTTTGGATTTTTTTCAAATTTTATTTGAAATTGATTAAGATTTAATTAGGATTTGGTCTAAGAATAGGATTTAGAATTTTATTAAGTTTTGGTTTAGAATTTGATTAGGATTTAGAATTCTTTTAGGATTTGGTAAGAAATTTGATTAAGATTTAGGATTTCATTAAGGTTTAATTAGAATTTAATCTAAAATTTGATTAAGATTCATTAAGATTTTAATTAGGATTAATTTAGGATTTATTTAAGAATTACTTAGGATTTATTCAAGATTTTTATTTTTAATATTTCTTTAAAATTATTATTATTTTTTAAAGATTTTTTTTAAAAATATTTTTTTATTATTTTTTAAAATTAATTTATAGCTTCTTTGTGTTTCTTTTGTATTTTTTAAAAAAACTTTATTTGGATTAATTAAAATTTGATTAGGATATCTAACGATTACTTAAAGTTTATTTTGGATTCTATTGAATTTAGTAGAATTATTGTAGTATTTTTACTTATCTCCCATAGCTAGGTGCTTGGTACATTTTTAAGCAAGAATACATGTAATACAATATAAGTGGTGAACTCAACATAAAAGCTTGAGATAGGAGGTCTTTAAGTTTTTTTATTTTTATTTTGATTTAATAGAAAAAGAAAGAAAGAGATTTGAAGGAGTTATGGAAGGAGCTTCAAGTGAAGTTATAAATAGAGCTTCTAATAGAGTTTTTATTGAAAGACAAGCTAAGTATATAGATCCAACCATTACAAGTAAGTTTTAAGCTTTTACATTATTTATACAGCAACAACAAAGCAATAATTGCAAAGAAGCTTTGGCAACCAAAGCATTATAAGTAGTGGCTAAAAAAGTTGATCAATTTAATGAAAGAAACATTTCAAAGTATTTAAGATATTATGTATGAGAAATAGAATTAAATTGGATTTTTGAAAAGAAGATGTTTAAGCTATTTGAGCTTGTCATAGTACTAAAAATAAGAAAATATTTTATATCTATTATGAAGCATTATAGAAATTTATAGGAGATATTTTTACATACATTAAAAGACAAATATTTCTTAAAAGATATTGATTGTATTACTAAGAAATTATTTCTAAAATGGATTGAGTAGCCCAATAAGAATTTACAAGCAATAGAGCTATTAAGAAAGTTTGAATGGTAGTATTCTTAATTATAAAAGGTGGAAAAATTAATACTAGAGCTAAATAAGGTTGAATTATTTCTTCAATTTTTTAATTGAGAATTATAAGAAAAATTAGAATTTCTTTTTGAAAACAAAGAAGAAGATGAAGGATTGACAACAAAATGGAAAAATGTTGAAGTTGTTGTAGATTTTCTTGCAAAAAAAAAAAGAAAGAAAAAAAGATAAGATAAATATTTTAAGAATAGTAAAATCATCTAAAATTCAAGTGCATACAATACTACCAACAATGTTTATTATTTAATCTCTTGTATCTAAATCAAAAAAAGAAGATATGACAATTGAAGAAATTATACATAGGATGTAAGATCTTTAAATCAAACCTACAAGACTTGAAAAAAAAACTTCTACAAATAATTTGAAGACTATTTCTAAACAAGGGTATATACAAAGATGTATTTGATGTGATAATGCTTCTCATATTAGGAAGAATTGTAATGAATTAAATAACATGATACAATAAAGAATTATTTTTTGAAAAGATAGAAAGGTGGGATTAAAGAATATAAGAGACTTCTTTTAAACCAATTTTAGCAACTAAAATATGAAGGCATTGATTCAAGACTTTTTAATAGAACATAGAATAGCAACACAAAAAAGTACAAGTTATGGAGCTAAGATAGTTAATGACTTTGATAGAAATATAAAAATAAGTGGATTTTAGATTTTTTTCATTTTTAGAATATAAAAAAGAAAAATACCTTAATTTTTTTTTAAAAGCCATAATTATAATACATGGTATAATAAATTCATAAAATCTTGTTGTCATGGATATACAATTGAAGAAGATTCAAGAAGGTTCTAAAAGATTCTTAGAAGGTTCTTATAGATCCTAAAAGGTTCCAAAAGTTTCCAAAAGATTCTAGTAGATTCTAAAAAAATTCTAGAAGGACATAGGAGATCCTGAAAGGCTCTAGGAAGCTTTAGATGATTTAGGAAGTTGCCAAAGAAGGATCTTAGGCTTGCTTTGTTTTCAAGCCTCATGAAAACTTTTCAAGAAGCTTCATAGGACCTAGTATATATATGAGTTGAGGCTGAAAGGATCCTCAATCTCGATAACTCACTTCTTGTGGTCTAGTCAGGACCTTCTTGCTTTGTATCTAGTTATTGTAAAAATATGGAGCTAACTCCATTTCTTGATCTTGAATCCTTTTCTTATATATGGTCCTTAATAGTTTGTCAAAATTATTATAAAATAATATTGGAAGCTTGGTCTTTTTTTGTAGTGAGTAAATTAATTCTCTTCTTTAAAGTACTATAGCATTCTAGAGGTTGTGGATTACCCTCTTCTAGACTAATATTATTCTTTTCTTAATATTATTTTATTTATTTATTTATTTTTTTACCATAGATTAAGTTTTTTTTTCTTTTAAATGTATATATTTCTCTGATTTTTATAGTAGAAGGTGAAAAAGTCAATATAAAAGACTCCAAAGAGATCAAGTTAGATTATATTATAAATGCTCTTGATACATTGAGGATCAGAACAAAGACTTTATTGAATCAGAATGAAGAATTATATATAACCATACATAATGGTCAAAGAGTCAAAGTGCTTCAATCACTACATTAAATGCCAATAAAGGTTCCAAATTTTTAAATGACTATATCTGCTTCAAGAAACATGGGAGGTGCATCTACTTAAGATAATGTTCTGACAACAACAATAATAACAAAAGAACTAAGGATTAGCCTTCTAGAAAAGTTTGATGGCACCTACTCAAAATTTTATGGCTTTATAAACCAAGTATGATTAATCACCTTGCATTAATCTCAAAAATATTTAATTGAAGTATCTCGTATTGGTTTAGTTGGAACCTTGCTCTCAGGTCAAGTTTTATCTTGGCTCGCTCTATTATTTGAAAAGAATTCTCATATATAATACAATTTTGAAGAATTTTTGGTAGAATTTGGTAAATATGATAAGGTTTGTTCTTCAATAACTAGCATTTGAAGCCTTTGATAAGGAATTTTTTTTACATCAATGTATGCTTCAAATTTTTGACAATTAGTATGTGATATAAATTAGAAAGAAGATGTATTGATGAACCAATTTTATTGGGGATTAAGAGACGTTGTTAAAGACTTATTGTTGTCTATGTTAAATT